TTCCTGAAGAATTACCAGTTTACCCTTTTTTGCCTTAAGTGCTTGTTTTTCTTCGTCATGTCGTTTCTCCTTCGTCCAGACTCCGAATCATACGATTCTTGAGTCCATCTTGATTAGTTTTTTGTTGTCTTTCCAGCGGTATACTCGGTGGCACCCGAATCCATTATTTTAGAAAATTACCATTTTACCCCTGGGGACTTATTTGTCATATTTTTGAGCTTTTACTTCCGCATCAGTTCTCATTGAGTTCCACGACCTCATGGAAGGTCACTTTGACTTCTTAGATTCTTGTTTTTTGTTTTAGCTTCCGCATTCGGATCCGTTATCGGGTTAATCTTTGGTTCATCATAAGACGCACTGACTTGAAAAACTAGGGCCGTCACATTTAAGGTTCTGGCTCGAGCTTCATTAGATTAATGCTCGAGCTTCAAGGAATGGTGCTCGATCTTCACTTTGACACTTAGCTAAATTTCTTCAACTATTTTTCGAAGCGTCTTTTTCTTCAACACTTAGAATATTTTTGGGATTCATCTCTTTTAACATTGCTCGATCCAAGCTTTATGGGCTCGAGCACTAGATACTGAGCTCGAGCTTTAGGTACTCACAGCTCAAGCTTTGAATGATGGTGCTCAATCCTTGAGGTTTGGTACGAGGCTTTGGGAGCTTGGTTCTTCCATCAAATCAACTCTTTAAATTCCGACGCCTTGTGCTCGAGCTTGAGGGTTAAGGCTCAAGCACGCTGAGGTAATGCTCGAGCATCCTTGGTTAGGGCTCGAGCTCTGAAGGTACAAGGCTCGAGCTTCAATGCTTTGTTGAGTTTTCTTCTTTTTTCTTGCAAGGCTCGAGCCTCAGATCTTGGGCTCAAGCTTTGGTTCTTGAATTCTTCCAAACTTCACCATTTAAGCTCTCGGCTTGCTCTGAATGACCGGCAACGACTCTGTAAGCTTTGATATCATCATAAAGTCCCGGTTTTAACCGTTTCTCTGGGAAAGTACCTATAAACACACATTAAATATAAATCAGTCTAACTATGGATAGAAGTATCACTTTAGGCCTTAACATACGTATATTTAGGGGGTCGAATATGCAATATTCAGTGCTCATCAAATGCCACCGTCTCATACCTGTGCATTAAATCATACAATCCAATCAATGACGTATAAATATAAAGTTGTACATCAAATAATCCAGAATATCATGATTTATATCATATATTCAAATATTGCATTTAATCTAAGCAATAAAAAACAGTTCTAAGTAGTGTGCATTTAATTACAGAATAAGAAATTAACATGCACATCAAATAAACTGATTAAATCTCCACAACATGGTTAAACTATTTTATTCCAGTATTTAATTAAACCAGTTTAACACCACATATACAGTCCATTAATTAACTCTTAAGTTAATTACATTCAAAATTTAGCATACAGTTGATTATTATGCATTCTAGTTATTGTTGAGTCAATTTAAAATCCTTTAAATCACAACTACAGACCCGATTAACCCTAGGCACGAACCCCATGCCTAAAACCCACACTGAACCAAACATTCGACTGGTTCAATAACCGGTCGACGTGTTTCCTCTAGGTGTCGACCGGTTTCAGCAAACCGGTCAATCGAATCACCAAGGCGTCGACCGGTTCTTCCAATCCAGTTGATGTTTTTCCTTAGGCGTCGACCAGTTCATGCAAACTGGTCGACGTATGCCCTAAACCGGTCGACGTGAACTGCAACAGTTCATCTTCTACAGTTCCAATGACTATGTCTTCCTTTGTTAGGGGTCCTAAAGGCTACTGGTTTAAGTCTCCATCGTCCCCACACATTATTCTAGTCCTTTATGCATAATCTCAACAAGTTATAATTAAGAATCATGCAATATAATTCAACAAAATTCAAACATATACACATAGAATTGCATATTGTAATTTAACTTTTTAACATGTATACGTGGTTGATTTTTATGATTTAAAGTTCCTGGAATTTTCCTAGGCATGCATAGAACACAGATCAAAGGGAGAGAGATAGAAATAAAACTCGCCTTTGAGATTTCGAATTAAAATCTCAACTTTGTCTTCCTAGATTTTTCGGCAACCATTGACTGCTTTCTACTCCTCTATTGCCCTTGGTTCAACTCACGAACAACACCCCTTTTTCCTCTCCTTGGTTCGGCCTTGGTTCTTGACCAAATCCTTTCCTTCCTCCTTTCTCCGTTCACTCACAAACTCTCTGTTCTTTCTCTCTGCCTCCATTGTTATGTGAATAGGGTTCTAAAACCTTTGGCAGACACAACCTTATATATATATATATATTAAAAGCTAACCCTAATCCCAATCAAATACTAAGTCGGCTATCTTAAGGGAAAAGAAAAGAATTAAAACTACAAAATATATATAAGATTTATTCATATTACGCTACCTCTAACGTGATATTGATATATATAAATAAACATTATAAATATTGATATATATACCAAAATATCGACTTTAGTTAAAATAATATTAACTATCAGTAATAACTAATAAATATTATAACTATATATATATACATATATACGTATATATATGTATATATATATATGTATAACAAGCCATGGGTTAAATCTGTACCCATTAAGCCTCTTATCCAAGTAGTCCATGTGGATCAAATGGATGGTCCATTCCTATCATCCAAAACCATTAAAATAAAATAGAATTAAATAAAAACAACCATTTAATTCTTAACAAATAAATTACAAGTAAGCACTTAACATTTAACCAATTTAAAACACATCATTTAGTACTCAATTTAATCTAAGCAAATATTGCAAATAAACATACAAACAATTTAAATCATTTAAACAAATAAACGATTAACCATATAAACAAATAAATCAAATAAAATGCAATTAAAACAATGAAATAAAATACTGAGACTTTCCTTTTAAAATTAGGGATATTACAAAAGACTTTGGCACGCCCCTAAATAATAATAATAATAAGCCACGCACTCCTCCATTGGTTTTTTAAAACTAAACATCGATGCCTCCTTCATTACGGAGAAAAAGGAAAGTAGAGGGCTCATGGTTCTCAGAGGCTGTGAAGGTGTTTTGTTGAAAATTGCTTCAGTTTCTTTCTCTCATGCCCCTTCAGCTTTTGTGGCCGAATGTATAATTCTTAGATAAGTTTTTAAAGCTTGTTTGGAGTGTAATTTTCAGAACACCATTATTAAAGAAGACTGTAAATAAGTCATGCTTTCTTAATTCTTCCGAGGAAGCCTTGGTTAGAATTTTGGATGTTTTCAAGTTCTTTCTGGGCGATAATCAAAATTTCACCTTGAACTGGATTCATTTAGAGGGAAATCATTCAGCTATTGCTCCTTGTTCAATTGGTCATCTTCTGATTTGGAATTCGTTTGCACAAAATGTTTTGAAGGCTCTGTTGTTAGATGCCTCTTTAGCTCTTTAGCTCTGTTTTCTCTTTAATGTCAAAAAAACTATATTATAAATATAAATATAATTCGGGAGCTCACCCCTCTTGAGCGCCTTTTATCAATTATTACTTAACAAAAAAAAAAAAAAAAAAGAGAGGGTAAATTGCATCGACACCCCCTAAGGTTTTGGTCAACGTTACTCAGCGGACTGTCAATGACTTTTTTTATATTGACATCCGTTGAGATTTCAAAAATGTGCATTGACACCCTCTCTAGACCTCTTAAATCATATAAAATTATTTTTTAATCCTTTAACTTGTCAATAACTCAATTTAAATAATAAAATTACAAATTTAACATCCTAACTAAATTTAATGGACCAAACTAACCTTTTCATCTCTTCTATACATATAGATATCGTTCATATTTAACAATACTTATACCGCCATAACCACCACCACAACATAAAAATAAAAATAAAATTAATTTTTTTTAAATAGCCAGATAATTGTACAACACCACCACCATACCCAAACACAACAATAGAAGAAAAAAAAATTGAAAACAACCATGACCAACCCATACTTATACGTCCAAAACGTTATCAAAACCACCACCACACCAAGACAACACTACCAATACAACCAGATGCTACCAAACCCACAACCACCACCATAATAGAAAAATAAAATTTTGGAAAAACCCTGATAACCAAGACACCACCATAACCACCACAAACACACCCAAACAACACCACAACAACCACTACCATAGTAGAAAAAAAAATTAAAAACATCCCAGACCCACCACAAGAAGCAGAAAAAAAAAAAAAATACAGCTATGTCCAACCCAGACACCACTACCACAATAGAACGGAAAAAAATAAAAATAAAAACAGTGATGGCTGTTTTTATCTCACCATTCCCACCAATTCTTTTCTCTCCCATCATACCCACTTTCCTTCCCTCACTCATTTCAATCACAAATCTAACACCACCACAACCACCACACCGCAACATTTTTTAACCAAATTTTGCGAATTAACTTGCCCTAGTCGCTATCTCCTCCACCGCCAGTTAAGTTTCCCTTTATTAGCCACGGGTAGCCGGTAGCTCCTTGACCGATAAGAAGAATGACGAGGGGTGCAATTTATTAAAAAAAATAAATAACGTAGTAAGAAAGAGGGGAATGAGAGAAATTGGGAAGAAAGAGAGGGAGTGTCGGTGACTAAGTATTAAAATGAACCAAAAAAAAAAAAAAAAAATTTAAAGATTAGGGTAGAGAAAGAGGCTTAATGATAAGGGTAATTTCGTAAATTAATTGAGTTGATATTTTGTAAATTAATTGAATTAAATAATCAGGAGCAAATATGACATTTGAAACCACATGGGGTGTCATTGTTTAAAAAGGGGTTGACCCGCATTTGAGTGACATTGACTGAAACCTCGGGAGATGTCAATGCAATTTCCTCGAAATACAAAAATATCATTCATGGGCAAAACGGTAAATTCACTTCCTATTGTGGCCAGGTCCTGTAATGTTGATGAAACCATAGGGTATGATATATATATATATATATATATATCGTATATAGTGTATCATCAAGTTCAGTCTTCTCTCCACACAGCAAGCTTACAAAAGGGCATCAATGGCGCCCAAAGCCGTCTGTTTATCCTCTCTCTCCTGTCTCTCTCCACTCTTTCTCTCCCACCAATTCACAAACCCCAACCTTAATTTTCTCACTCTCCACCCTTCAAAAGCCACCGTCATCATTTGTAAATCCATGCAATCTCACACCCGCAACATAACACCAATCTCTGCAACCCATTCCTCAGCCTCCGAGCCTGAACTCGAAGGATCAGGAGCAGCCGCCCCGACTCGAGGGGAGATCTTCCTCGAACGCCAACAATCCATGGCGGCTTCAGCTATGGTGCTCGCGTTTAGTAGGAAGAAGAAGAAGAAAAGAGAGAAACTAAGTGGGTCTCTGAAGGTCTCCGCAGTAGCTCATAGCTGTTATGGTTGTGGAGCTCCGTTACAGACGTTGGAAGCGGATGCTCCGGGTTATGTGGATCCTGATACCTACGAACTGGTATGAACTCTTTCCGAGCTCAGAAACCAAATTTGTCTGTGTCTATGCATGCCAATGAGTATAATGGGGGTGCTAGTTTTTTTATGCCGTGTGTGAATCGATTAATTTAAAGAATTATAGATTGAGTGAAAATGGCAATGCATACTAATTTTTGTGAAAATTTGGTTATGGGTGAATTGAACTGTTGGAAATTGAGCTTGGTTTTGTTATCCAACTGGTGGGTTACTGAGAAATTTGAGCTTTGGAACTTTGAATAGGTTGGATATATGATTTTTGCATTAAATTGTGCGAAATGCCAGTGCTTTTTAAATGTTGTAATCTGCTGGTGAGGGATTTAGAATTGAATTTGTTTAACATGATTTGCTATGCGAACTCCCAGAATTAGATTGAGTGATATAGAAGGCAACACATAATTCGAATTGAGTTATTTTTCATGAATTAGTGTGAGAAATCTGTTTGAAGATTGAGTGAAATGACAATGTTACCAATATGTGTATGTATTTCTATTTATTTATTTTATTTCCTTTAATTGTAGAAAAAGAAACACCGTCAACTTAGAAGAGTACTTTGTGGAAGATGCCGACTATTGTCTCATGGGCACATGATTACTGCTGTTGGTGGAAATGGAGGTTACTCTGGTGGGAAGCAGTTTGTTTCAGCCGAAGCACTTCGGGAGAAGCTATCTCACTTGCGCCATGAGAAAGCTTTGATTGTTAAATTGGTAAATGCTAACTTATAATTCATATGAATTCAAGAAATTATTGTAATGATTTCGAGGATGTGAAGATGAGCCTCTGCAACTGTATTTGCTATGTAACTAGAATATTGAAATATGCATTAGCTTTTGTTTGTTTCAGTAGACTAGCTTGTGAAAATCTGCATATTTGTAAGAGTGGCATTCTAATAGGCAAGTGGTCTAGTTTTAGAAAAGTTGTCTCGCTGCGGTCTTTTGTGACCTTGAGATATCACTTGTAAATCTGTGAATTTGTGAACCATACTTGAATGTGGCAGTCCAGGGGAATCTTACTCAATAGTTCTTTCAGTTCTTATTGTCCATGTATATCTCATGTTTCTCACGACAAACATCTTTTAAGGAAGAGAATGTAAAAGAAGTCATTTCTTTAGAGATATCTGATAATGTTGGAATGATTTTAAACAAAGAAAAGAGTGAACTGGGTTATGGAGATGGTAAAGTTTGGGGAAACCTTATCTTCCATTAAGGAAGAACGTATGTGACAAATCTTCCATGAACTTAACTGGTACGGGGTGGGCCACACTAGATGAGTGGCGCACTGAAAGTGAAAACCAAGAAAGCCATTAAGCAAACATGTTCAGGAATTTCAATAAATGATATTAGTATCTTAGTTCATATGTTCATCACCTGTTTCTCTAATATTTAAGCCTTTAATAAAGGCAATGGTTTGTTTATCATGATATTGAAGCCTCTTTTGCTCAGCAAACTGATGCACGAACTGTTATATTCGTTTGCGTGTGTGTGTGTGTTTTTTTTGGTGAATTAAATTAACCTATTTGTTGTTAATCTTGAGGCTGCTTTAATCCCAAATGATTCTGAGTCAAAACATATTTTTAGCTTTTTGTGGAAGCTGTGGCTTTTTTTTTTTTTGATAGATAATGGAAGCTGTGGCTTTTTATCTGCAAGTATTGTTAGATCTCTGCTTTGCAATAAATCCTCAAATATTAAGGGCTTTTGAAATCACAATTGTATTTTTGAAACTTGTTATATATTCATAATCAAGTCCTATATACAAAATTTAAGGAGCGGGCTTGTCTTATCTGGTATGGGGTTTGGATTATTCTGCACTTTGTCAAGGGCTTTTGTTTAAGAGGGGGTTATTGTATTATGGCAACAAAGTCAATGAAGATCTTACAAGGAGCAAAACTTTCTGGCTACTGTTGCTTCTAGGTGAGACTTACCTTAGCCCTTGGAATGTGGATGTCTCCTTTTACATTAGATACGTTGTTGGGGATGGGTTCGTGATTCACTTCTGGGAAGATTTGTTATCGAGGGATGTGGGGGGTTGGGTGTTTGGGGAGAGTAATCTGTTCAGTTTCCTTTTCCAAATACCCTGCCTTTTGTGTGTGTTGATTTTTCTTCACTGGAACTCATTTTGACAATTTCAGTTCTTAGAAATTCAAGTTTTCAGGAAAAAAAAGGCCTACCTGTTTGAAATTGATGACCTCATTTCCCTTATCCCTTTTTATCATCTCAAAGATGTTTACTTCCTGATGTAGTCTGGATTCTTGACGTGGAGTTTCAAGAATGCTGTGTCCTTTACTTCAAAATCATACTTCGGTAATGTGTCTAAAAATCTTTCCATTTTCTTCCAGGGAGATATGATATGGAAGACTAAAGATTCATATAAAGTTAAGGCTTTGCTGTTTTGGTGTGGTTAGGGATTGCAATGGTTTAATACTAATGGCAATTTGCATATTACAAGTCTCTAAATGTTTTTAATGTGTTATAATAGTCATTTTTTTATGCAATGCCCCTTCTCTGATGCTTGTGTTAGAGGTTTCTTCGGTCAGCAAGGATGTGTTAGGTTTCTCCACAGAGGTATGGTTTTCTTTAAAGATTCCATTTAGATTGGTTGAGGAAGGAAGATATAGGAAAATTCTTTGAAATCATGCATGTTACTTTGGTTTAGAGGAATGTTAGACTTCTTTTGGTACGTAAATTTCTCAATGGAACTATGGAAGAGTAGAGTAGGGGTTGTTATTGACTTCTCTGAGTTGTTATTAATAAATAGTTCAACATAGTGCTTTGATTGTGGTTACGAGTTAGGTTGCAATGTCTTAATACTGGTTGCATGACAAAGCAATTACTTGTTTGATGTAGAATAGAATGTCCAGTCCTTGTGTATCTAGAATTGTTGAAGTGAGATTAGTATCGTAGCATTCAATGAGCATCTTGCATTTCATAAAAATTAAGGGTAATTGTTAGCAGATATGGTAGCCACGATTTATGGAATAACTTACCGTATTAGTAGAGATTTGATTATGCTATAGAATATGCTGTGATTTGATTTAGATTTGATTTTATTTCCTTTATTATAATATGAGCATGTGCTCTTTTTTATCTATAAATACTAGAGTTGTGAATGAGTGATTCATCTCATTCAAGCCTTTATACAATTATCTCCTTTTTCTTCTTTTTATATTTATTCTTACTATCAGAGCCAACACCTTTCCACACCTTTCAGCAGCCTTGATACTTGTGTGACAACCATCTTAGGTTGTCTGTGACATCGTGTGACGTTGCCTACACATGTTTTTCTGTATTGCTGTTTTGTGATCGAAAATAGGTATTTTTAAGTTTTACAATTTCTTTTTTATTCTTCTGGGGTTGGGTAAGTTGGGATCGTTGGTCTCCAACACCTATAAGGGCTTGGGTAAAATTTTTTTAGTTTACAGAGAGGTTCTAGATATTAAGTCCGGCTATATGTAAGCGGGCAACGCTCCTTAAAAAAGTCTGTATTTGGACCTTTCGGGAATGGTCTGAGGAGGTATTGTTATTGTTTATGGTCTGAGGAGACCTTTTGATTTGTTAACAAAATTAGTGGTGTTTTTGGAGTTGTTTATTGTCGTGTGAAAGATTATGACAGATTTAGGGTCCTCGACTGTTAATTCTTTTGGCTCAAGTTCTGTTGGTGGTGGTTTCATTTTTCCCACCAACTCATCAAAAAATCCAGGACTTCAAATCACCACAGTGAAATTGAATGGCTCCAACTATTTGATTTGGGCATAGTCTGCGAAGATGTTAATTGGTGGCAAAGGTAAGATTGGCTATATTACTGGTTTTGAGAAAGAGCTGGCTGACTCAGAGAAGACGTATCCACAGTGATTTGCAGATAATGCTATGGTTATGTCTTGGCTAGTCAATTCAATGCAGCCAAACATAGCCGTTCATTATATGTTTATGAAGACTGTTAACTTATCAAAAAAAAAAAAAAAAAAGTTTATGAAGACTGCTAAACAGATTTGGGATTCAGTTTAACGCACTTATTCTTAGAGGTAGAATAATGCACGGATTTTCAGTTGGGGCAAGACATCCCCATGATTTCTCAGGTGATTTGATAGTTTCAAGTTACATCGCCAAGCTTCGTGCTATTTGGGAGGAGATGTCATAATATGATTCCTTCCACTCTTGGAAGGATCCAGATGATGCAGTTTTATATGCAGGGATTATGGAGAAGAATCGAGTGTTTCAGTTTCTTGCCGGGTTTAACGACGAGTTTGAGTATGCCCGTGTTCATTTATTGCGCTTATCTTCATTCCCCACTCTTGAGGATGCATACTCCTGTTTTGTCAGATGAGAGCCGTCGGACTTATCCATTAGGTGTTGCTTATGTTGATCATTCTGCTATGGTAGTTTGGGTTTCCAACCTTTTAGGAACTGCACCATTTCAGTCAGTTTAGAGTTCTACCACCGGTCCTCTTTTGGGACGACAATGTGGGAGATGTGATCGTTGTGGAAAACTTAGTCACATTAAATCTCGTTGTTATGTACTACATGGACGCCCATCGCAACAGAAACAACAATTTCGATCCTTTGCACATTCTGTTACACAACCAGTTTCGTTGTCAACTCCTGACAACTCTGCCTATACATCTTCTGCCATAGTTAGCTTGACTAAAGCTGATTTGGGCAAGTTCAAACAATTCTTCAATCAAATGAAGGCATCATCTCATCCAACCTCCACTTATGCCCACTCTGGTACTATTGCATCTGCACATAGCGTATCTACATCTTCGACACCATGGATCATTGATTCTGGTACTTTAAACAATATGACTGGTATGCCCTCATTTTTCCAATCTTACAGTATCTGGTCACAAAATATGCCTTGCGAATGGCTCTCCATCTTCCATTGCTGGGAATGGTCAGTTACTCATTCATTAACTTTGTCAGATACACTTCATGTTCCATAGTTGACTACAAATCTTATTTCTGTTAGTAGCGTTACTAAACAATTAAATTGTAGTGTAACGCTTTTTCCCTCTCATTGTATTTTTGAGGATCTGGTATTGAAACGGACGATTTGCATTGGGCATGAAGTGGATGGCCTATACCTGTTGGATGCTCCTTTGTCACCTCAAACACATTCGGTTTCATTATCTAATTATGTTTTATCTAATAAAGCTCAGCTTATGCTTTGGCACATGGGTTTAGGGCATATTTCTTTCGGTTATTTAAAACATTTGTTTCCTTCCTTATTTTATAACGTGGCAAACTTAGATTTATCTTGTGAGACGTGTCACCTGGCTAAACATGTTCGTTCCAAGTATCCTGTTAGTAGTAATAAATCTGTTTTAATACCTTTTGATCTTGTTCATTCAGATGTGTGGGGTCCTTGCCCAGTTACTTCTAGCCTTGGATTTCGATATTTTGTGTTGTTCATTGATGATCATAGTCGTGTTACATGGGTTTATCTTATGAAAACCAAAAATGAGGTGTACACCATTTTAAAAAATTTCATAACAATGGTTCAGACTCAATATGGTCGTACCATTAAAAAATTCAGATCTGACCAGGGTATGGAGTACACTTATAGGGAGGTACAGCGGTTATGTACAAAATTGGGATTGAGCATTAGATGTCTAATGTTAAAACCCCTCAACAGTTAACACAATGGCCGTTCGGAGAGAAAGAGCCACATCCTTGACCTAGCCAGAGCAATCTGCATTGGCATGAATGTTCCCCATTCATTTTGAGGAGATGCAGTTCTTACAGTTGTGTACATCATTAATAGAACTCCTTCTAGGGTTCTTAACTTTGCAGCACCACTCTCAATCTTACAACCCAATTCATTTCTTTTTTTGATTCCTCTGCGAGTCTTCGGGTGTGTGTGCTTTGTTCAGCAGTTCGAGCAGACTCGTACAATGCTTGACCCCAAGGCTTTGAAGTGTGTGTTTTTGGGTTATTCTCACTCTCAAAAAGGTTATAGGTGTTACCATCCTCCAGTCATCGGCAGTTTATATCCATGGATGTTTCTTTCTTTGAGCATACACCATACTATAGTGGTTCAGTTGGTTCTCAAAGTGAATGGTTCCCATTGAATACAATTGATGATCACATTTTTCCGTGTTCAACTCATTTACCTTTACCTATTTCGTCTTCTATAATTCCTTCTCGTGATACCCCTCCAGCACGGGGAATTGTTCCTGTTCCACAAGTTTATAGTCGGAGACAACAGGTACAAGGTTCTACTCCCACGATCTGACTGTCTTGTTCCTTCGGCACCAGCTTCGCCTTCTCAAGCTATTGTTTCGCTTGATGATCGCCCCATTGCTCTTCGGAAGGGTAAACTTTCTTGTACGTACCCTATTTCTAATTTTGTTTCTGATTGTGCTCTCCCACCCTCCTATCGGAGTTTTCTTGTTTCTGTTGCCTCGGTTCCTCTTCCTTCTAGTGTTGCAGATGCACTAGCACAACCTCTATGGCGTGATGCTATGACAGAAGAACTACAAGCACTTGAGAAAAATCATACTTGGGACATGGTTCCGCTTCCTATTGGACGAAAGGGTGTGGGTTGTCGTTGGGTTTTTACCGTTAAGCATAATCCAGATGGGTCAGTTGCCTGTTACAAGGCCTGGTTGGTTGCCAAGGGTTATGCTCAGACTTATGGCATAGATTATCAAGAAACTTTTGCCCCTATTGCCAAGATGAATATCATCCATGTATTATTTTCCGTTGCTACGACTCGATCTTGGCCTCTATTTCAATTAGATGTCAAGAAAGCCTTTCTAAATGGTTATTTGCAGGAGGAGGTGTATATGGTTCCCCCTTTGGGCTTTCGTTCTCCTTCTCATTCCGGTATGGTCTATTGTCTTCGTCGCTCAGCAGTCTCCTCGAGCTTGGTCTGATCGCTTTGGCACTGTCATGCTCAAGTTTGGTTTCCATCAGAGTGCAGCTGATCACACCTTGTTCTTACGTCATTCAGGTGGTAAGACAGTTGCTCTTATTGTATATGTTGATGATATTGTTCTTACCGGAGATGATACTGTTGGAATTATTGAGGTTAAAAGTTGTCTTGGCCGTCAGTTTGAGATTAAGGATCTTGGTCCCCTTCGGTACTTCTTGGGCATTGAGGTGGCTCGCTGCAAGTTTGGTATTTTCATCTCTCAACGCAAGTATGTTATTGATTTGCTCTCTGTTTCTGGTCAGTTTGGCGCTCGTCCTGTTGGTGTTTCGATTGAGCAGAATCATCGGTTGGTTGATTCTGAGGGGGAGTTGTCGTTGGATGTTGGTCAGTATCAACGACTCGTTTGGAAACTCATCTATTTATCTATGACTTGACCTGACATTGCTTATGTCGTGAGTGTTGTGAGTCAATTCATGCTCTCTCCTCGTTCCCCTCACCTTGATGCATAGTTGTCAAAGGCGCCAAAGGCGTGCGCCTGAGGCGCAAGGCGCCTCCAGGCGCCATCTCATCGCCTGTATTGACTTAAGGCGCATGGTTGAAAGAAGGCGTACGCCTTTTGTACACAGGCGCGAGGCTACAGGCGCGCTAAACGCGCGCTTGCTTGAAAATGTATTTTTAAATGGTTTTGTTTGTTTATTGTTTATGTATTGTTTATATCATTATCATATTATTTTATTAGTTACTAGTTAAAAGAAAAGCTACAAGTTGCAACATAAAAAAAAAAAAAGAGAAGCAAAAAGGAAAGGAAAGAAGACAGACTGATAGACGCAGCGAGACGAGTGACGACTTGGACTCCGACTCTCGGTCTCGGATCTGCATCATCTGCCGGATCTAAGGTTAGTTCTTCTTCTCTTCTTCTTCTCTCCTCTTAGACTCCTTCTCTTCTCGGATCTGCCAGATCGATGACCGGTCTCAGATTTTTTTTTCTTCTTCTTTTCTTCTCTCGGCTCTCTCGGCCGAGTCTTTGGCAGATTTATTTTTATTTTTATTTTTCTTCTTTTTTTATTTTATTTTTTATTTTTTTATTTTTCTTTTCTTCTCTGGAGTCTGGACTCTGGACTCACTGTGACGACTGTTGATCACTATTTTTCCATTCTAAGTTTCTAACTGTCTAACATGTTAATATGTTGTTCACTTCATATTGTATTTTTGTCGGATGGACCACCATCATATTGTCTATGATCAAGTTTTCACCAAGTAATTACTTGTCTTACAACACAAGTGTTGTTATTACATGTATAAAAAGTAAAAAAATAAAAAGAAATCCAATTTTGTAGTTTTCTTTTCTTTATTATTTGCCATCCATAATTTTCTAAGTACTGATGATATTCTTTTGGTTTTGAAACATACTAAATGAGTCATGCTTGGATGGTTCTTTCTTTCCATTTTGTTTCAATCAATGTTGATGGATTTTGGTGAGAATTAAGCTTATGAAACATGGGGAATTCTTAACAAACTTCGAACAAAAATAAATTGGCTGATCCTGGGCTCCCGATTATAAGACACCCATCTCACGAACCCTACTGCAAATTATCATTGATTTTTTTTGTATTTGAGAGTTTTGTATGTTTAATTTAGACCCATAATTGATCCTTTGATTCGGAAATCAGCCACCAATAATCTTTTGAATTGAAGATTAACCAAAAAAAATGAGATTGATTTGATTTGAAAATATATCACATCCTTGGGTAGGTTTTGTTTGTTTTTTTTTTCAACGTGCGCCTTGCTTTAGTCGGGCGCGCGCCTCGCCTTGCGCCTTTCGCCTCAGGCTCCCGGAGTCATTAGCGCTTTTGTGCGCCTTGAGCGTTTAACAACTATGCCTTGATGCAGCTATTCGGATCCTTCGCTACTTAAAAGGGTGTCCGGGCCGTGGTATTTTGTTTGCCCATCATGGTCACTTACGTGTTGAGGCTTGGACAAATGCTAATTATGCAGGATCAACTTCAGATAGGAGGTAAACTTCGGGTTATTGTACCATTATTGGTGGTAACTTGGTTATTTGGCGCAATAAGAAGCAGGATGTTGTCTCTCGATTTAGTGCAGAGGCATAGGGCTATGGCTCTTGGGGTATGTGAGTTGCTATGGCTGAAAACCTTGATGACAGACTTGTGCCTTCCAGTGTCGCTTCCATTCTCACTTTGCTATGACAACAAGTCTGCCATTAACATAGCAGCAAATCCTGTTTAGCATGACAGGACTAAGCATATAGAGGTGGGCTGTCACTTCTTTCGTAAGAAGATCATCTCTGGTCAAATTTGCACTCCATTTGTCACAAGTTCCCAGCAGCTTGCAGACGTTCTTACAAAGGGCGTCAACAAGATTGTGTTTGAGAATGAATTGTCCAAGTTGGGCGCTTCAGATATCCACGCACCAACTTGAGGGGGAGTGTTAGCAGATATGATAGCCACGATTTATGGAATGACTTACCGTATTAGTAGAAATTTGACTATTCTATAGAATATGCCATATGCTATAGAATATGCTGTGATTAGATTTAGGTTTGATTTTATTTCCTTTCTTGTAATATGAGCATGTGCTCTTTTTTTATCTATAAATACTAGAGCTGTGAATGAGTAATTCATCTCATTCAAGCCTTTACACAATTCTCTCATTTTTCTTCTTTTTATGTTTCTTCTGTAATAATCCTTCCTTATGAATGGAGGCTTCCGTTAAGAGGGGAATTTATATGTTAACCTTGATTTTAGCTTTTGAGCCTTGAGATGCTTGTAGAATTTGTGCAGGCTTAAAACTTTCAAGTTGGGAAGCTGGTTAAACCATTGAGGTTTGGATCCTATTTTTTGTTTGTAAGGCTTGAGTGAAGCTCATTATTTGGGTTTGTTTGAGTGCTTAAAGACGGCAATATTTATTGTGCATTTTGTGGGAATATTTTTGAATAATATCTTTTATTTATTTATTTTTAATTTTTATTTTTTATGAGTAAGATTTCAATTTTTTTTTGAATAATATCCTAATGTGCAATATGTGATCATGATCAAATTTGGATTAGTTCGAACAATTATTCTTTCCTTTATATGTTTATACTACTAATTCCCATAGGAAGTTGTGATTTGAATTGGTGGTGTTCCTGCATAGATTTGTGATGGAGCACTGAGTGCTCCAAAAGTTTAAGTTGTTTCGAAATAAGGCAAACACTGATATCAAGTTCTCACACCTTTCCTCATATCTGATCCCGGGGACGCAAGACCTCCCAAAACTGAGACTCCGGTATCAGATTAGAGTCCTACTTAGAAGCTTAAGCTATTAAGGAATGGGCTCAACAATGTGTATCAAGCTCTCAAAATTTGCCATAAGTTTTGATAATCCGTTTCAAGTTTGTATTATATAGCTATGCATGCATTATATTTTATATCACAAAATTTGTTGCATCTCTACGCTACATCCAACTGCTATGTTCAAGATTAAAATGGGAGAAAGGCAACTTGAAGTTCATAGAATGGGGTTTTAGCCATATGGCCTGAGTTGCAGTGGGGGTAGGCAACTTGAAGTCCATATAATGGGGTTTTTCTTTGTATTCTTGATTCAGATGAGCTCGTTGTTGCAAAATGGTTATCAATGTCCTATATGAGTCACCAATCACAAGAAGAAATTCTCAAGGCCGTTTTATATTTACCATGCCGTTTAATAATTCAATTAAATATAGGAATGTAGCTGTTCTTCTCGAGCAGTTTTCTTCTATATTTCATTTTGGTTGTTTTTCTATCTTTTTGTATACACTCTGTTACCTTTTGCTTTCTCGATTGTAGGTTGACATAGTGGACTTCAGTGGCAGTTTTTTGGTTCGTGTGCGTGATCTTGTTGGTGCAAATCCAATTATATTAGTTGTGACTAAGGTAATAATTAGTATTTAAGTACTTATAAAAAAACATAATTAGCATTTAAGTAAAATTTCTAAATTTTATAGTTTGATTCTGTGGGTTTTCTAATTTAGCTGCAAATATAATTTGTACTTTCCTTTTTTGATTCAAGATTGATCTCCTTCCTAAAGGGACTGATCTTAATTGTGTTGGCGATTGGGTTGTGGAGGCTACCACCAAAAAGAAGCTCAAGTAAGTTTTGGACTGTTCTCGCTTGCTTTTCGCTGGTTGTATGTTACAGTGATATGCGATCAGTAGGATTTTTCAGAAACTAATCCAGATATATATTTTTTAAACCTTCGCTAGAAGGATTGTAGGTGATCTGAACTAAACGTAATAGCTTGGATTTGTATCTCACAATGTTACTGTTTTACTCTGTGGAACAAGTTTATTACTTTTAAATTGCATGCATAGGGATCTCCATATCAGGTTTTTGGTTTTATAAAATTAAGTTGGCCAGGTAACAAATTCGAGACTTAGAAATTAAAGTGGGACACATGGTTAAATTGGAAACAATAATGATTAGGGGATGGCCTTGAGGATTTCCAATAGTAAATTTCTCATAATCTCATCATGGACTTCTGATTCGAGATTGGAATTGCAACAATTAAATATATGGGACAGCTAATAAATATATTTTTTTTGATAAGTAATAATGAAATAAAAAAGCGTTCAAAAGGGGAACGCGTCCCTTAAACAATAGTGGAACCGGGGTTAAGGCCCCAAAGAATCCAAGAAAGTAATTAAATCATTAGAAGAGAAGCAAAAACTCCTCTTCACATAATTGAAGAGAGAACGAATAATAATAAGTTTCAACGTCGCCGTAGACGACTCCTTCCCTTCGAACATTCTGTTATTTCTTTCATACGCGATGTGGAATAACTCTCCAATAATCGCGTACATCTCTTCTCACACAACATCCTCTCCAAGCCTGAATCAGCTCTTTAGAAGAACGTGGCATTACCCAACGCATGCCAAACAACCCAAGAATAAGATTCCAACAGTCGTACGCCACAGGGCAATGCATGAGGATATGATCAATTGACTCACCGACTTACTTGCATAGGTAGCACCAATTGACAAAACAATTCCCTCTTTTCCTCAAATTATCAATCGTCAATATCTTACCCCAAACAGCGGTCTATACAAAAAAATGCTACCTTAGTTGGAGCCATAGAACGCCAAATGGTCTTCCATGGAAAGTAAGGCGATCAAAATTAGATAGACAAAGGAATAAAGATCGCACTTCAAAGCGACCATGGGAAGAGGGAATCCATGTAAGATCGTCACTTCCTCTGCCAACTCCTTCCTGCCAATACAATTGATCCAGGAAGACACAAACCTCGTTCAATTCCCAATCCTAAAAGGGACGTCGAAAGTGCACATTCCACGTAATCCCACTGCTATCAAGTCAATAAAAGTTAGCTACGTAGGCGTGCCTATCAACTGCAATACTATATAGTCTGGGAAATGTATGAGCTAATGGGTGATCACCACACCAAATATCTTCCCAAAAACGAACACATTTGCCATCACGCACGTTGAATCTAATATGAGAAGAGAAGACGTCCCATCCCTTCCGAATGGATTTCCACATGCCAACTTCTCCCGTAAGGGTAACTGGACTTGTAGACCAGCCACCAATCTCTTCCCCAAACCGACATGAGACTAACCTTCACCAAGGACGATGTCTTTCCCTCCCAAATCTCCGTAACCATTTGCCCAAGAGAGCATGGTTAAAAGGAACCAGTCTTCTGATACCAAGACCCCCTAACTTTATAGGCTTGCAAACTTGCTCCCATCTGACAAGGTGATACTTAAATTCTTCTCCTCTTCCGCCCCAAAGGAAGTCCCTTTGAATTTTTTCAATCCTATCAGCAACGGAGCATGGGATTTGGAACATGGATAAAAAATATATGGGTAGGCTTGATAAAGTGCTCTTTATAAGAGTTACTTTACCCCCCTTAGACAAGTATTGCTTCTTCTAACCTGCTAATCTCTTCGCACACTTGTCAATCGCAGGGTCCCAACTGCCCACTCTCCTGGAAGAAACCCCTAGAGGCAAACCCAAATAAGGAATGGGAAAAGAACTCACCCTACAACCAAGAACTGCAGCTAAAGAAGAAATATCTTGAACATTCCCTACCGGGACAAGCACGCTCTTTGCCACGTTAACCTTCAACTCGGAAATTGCTGAAAACAAGCTAGGATACACCTCAAATATCTAAGTTGAGACGCATCAGCGTCGCAAAAAACCAGGGTGTCGTCCACAAAGAGTAAATGAGAAATCTCCACCTGATGGACTAAATCTCGTCCCACCTTGAAGCCCTTAACAAGACCAAGATCCTCAACCCTTAGCATAAGTCTGTTTAAGCCCTCCATAACAATAAGAAAAAGGAAAGACGACAAAGAATCTCCTTGTCTTAAACCCCGAGAACACCCAAAAGAAACCTGCGGGAGATCCATTCACAAGAACTGAGAACTTAACTGATGAGAGGTAAGTCTCAATCCATTTCCTCCATCTACTTCCAAACCCCATTCTTTGCAGCAAATAAAGAAGGAAATTCTAGTTCATATGATCATATGCTTTCTCAATATCAAGTTTGCATAAAACTCCAGGAACGCCACTACACGACCTAGAATCCACACATTCTCCTGCAATAAGAACATAATCAAGAATTTGCCGGTCTCCAACAAAAGCATTTTGGGAATCTAAAATAATCCCATCCATTACTTCCCTCATCGTCAGAGCAAGCACCTTAGCCATGAGCTTGTAAATACAACCCACTAAGCTAATTGGTTTAAAATCCTTAATATCAGAGGCGCCTCCCTTCTTAGGGATAACTTAATATCAGAGGCGCCTCCCTTCTTAGGGATAAGGGCAATAAATGAGGCATTTAGCGACTTTTCAAAGACGCTAGTAACATGAAACTCCTGAAATTTACCCATAACCTCGTTTTTCACTACCGCCCAACTTTCCAAGAGAAAACGCATGGTAAACCCATCAGGTCCTGGAGCTTTGTCCCCATTACAACTAGATAAGGATTTTAGAACTTCGTCTTCAGTAAAAGGAATCTCAAGCCCGTCTCTATTCAACTCAGAATTGGACTCAAAATGGAGACCATCAAGTTTGGGTCTCCAAGCAAGCGGCTCAGTGTAAAGCTTCTGATAAAAAGAGACAATCCCATTACGTACCTCTTCCTCCATCCACAACTCCGCCCCTTCCACCCAGATTCGACCTATGTGATTACTCCTTCTGTTAGCATTAGCTAGCCTGTGAAAAAATTTTGTTTTACAATTTCCCTCTTTTAGCCAAAGAGCCCGGGATTTTTGTTGCCACAAAATCTCCTCCATACTAGCATCTCAGCAAAAGCAGCCTGACAGGAAGCTCTCCTAGAGCGTAGAGAGTCCACATCCCCACCCGCCTTCTCAAGACGATTAATTTCGGAAAATTCAGCAAGGACTCTATTCTTCCTCCATTCAAGATTCCCAAAAACATCCTTATTCCACTTTTTAAGATCGAATTTGAGAGCTTTTAACTTCTTTGTTAACGTTAAACTGGGCGAACCTATAACAATAACTCCCTCCCACCAAGAACGAATATTCCTTTGGAAGCCTTCCACTCTCAGCCACGTATTCTCAAATCGAAACGGGGATTTTCGAAAACACAAACCCCCACAATCCAGAACCAAAGGAACATGATTAGAGGTAATCCTTGCTAAAACCGCCTGAACGACATCCGAGAATTTCTCTTCCCATTCTCTAGAAATCAAAAATCGATCTAGTCTTGAAAGAGTGACTGGATCCCTGCCATTTGACCAGGTAAAGGCTGCACCTTCCATTGGTAAATCAATAAGAAGATGCTCGTCAATAAAGTCAGAAAACTGATCCATTTCTGAAGACCTCCTTCCCCCTGTACACCTCTCTATCGAAGATTTGACAGAGTTAAAATCCCCACCCAGACACCAGGAGAGAGACCACAATTCTTGAACATGGCAAAGCTCCTCCCAGAAAATAGGTTGATCATCATCAACAACCGGTCTATAGACCCCAGAAAATCCCATCTGAAGTTATCCTCTTCCGTCTTAAACTCGCAGGACACAGAAAATCTCCCCATCCACACGTCCATTCTAGACAACCATCTGCTATCCCACATAACTAAGGTTCCGCCCGAAGTACCTATAGCATTCAAGGCCTCCCATTCCACAAACCTTCCTCCCCACAAACTCCTAACCACCCCATCAGAAATGGAAGCCAACTTGGTTTCTTGCAGACAAACAACCTGGGCCCCCCACTTCCTTAAAGCCACCTTTACCACCCTCCTCTTGTTCGAGTCGTTAAGACCTCGGACATTTCAAGTAATAATTCGTAGCTTCATTAAAAACCAGATAAAGTTATCTCCCCCCCTCCCTTCCTTATACTCTTACTTCTGGTCCTTCTCCTCTCCTTCACCACCCCTCTTCCCTTCATAATTAACGCAAGAGATAAGATTTTTGACCTCCTGTGCCCCTTTCTAGGACGATAAAGGCCTGGTGTTCATAACCTCATTAGTTACTGCCACCTCTCTTCCTTCCACAATTGCTTGAAGAATGGATAATGGCTGGTCATTATTTCCCTCTGATGCGACACCCAACAACTCACTGGTGACTCCTATATTTTCGACAACCCAATCCTTTCCCATATCGGGTGCCATTCCGGACGAACCAGGTCGCATAACAGCCAATGGTTTCACATCTGAACAATCATTCTCAAACCAAGGGGCGAGCTCTTTAGAACAAACCTGCTGGATTGAACTCAAATCATCAATCACCTCATCTTCAATATCTCTGCCATTCTCAAACATCAAGTCTGAATATGTACCGAAGTCACCCATTCCATTACGCGTGAAACTAACAGACTCGTTCACCTCAGCCCCTGCAAAAGGCAAGCAGTTAATGCCTTGCAAGGCTACACGCAGACGTAGCTCTTTTAGTAGGGATGAAGCCTCATCACTGGATAACTGAAAATGGAGATCACTTCCCACATAGATCGTAACCCCCTCAGGCTTGTCCTTAACTGCACAGTCCACTGGATCAACATGCCCTGAAATAGCAGACCTGTAGGTAGTCTTCCTTTCCATATTTGAGCCAACCTCAGCTTCAGGTGTCGAAGGCATAACTGAAAGCTCACTGCACTTCTCCATTGCCAACTCAACCTCACTCCTTAGCACCCCAGAAGAAGGAATAGAAGAAGAAGAGGGAGCGTAGGGAGGACCCTGAGATGATAGGCTGAAGACATACCTGAATCAGTTCGTACCCACTTTTGTTTATCTTTACGAAACCACCTACGACTCTGGCGTCCTTGTTGAGAGCCCTTAGTTGAACTGAAGCTTCTATCATGTGGTAGAACAGAACCTGAAGGAAGAGACGCTGCAGGAAAACAACACGTATTGTGTCGAAAAGTCCTCTAGTCCGTGTTCAACCCATTGGCGCTTAACTGCATCCACCTTCTCTTCTCCGTCGAAGACCACTCTCTGCTGTGACGACGACGCTGTGGAATAAAGTCTGAAGAAGCAGCGTGACTGGGCTTAGCCAAATGCTTTGGGCTGGGCATGTCATTTAAAAAAGAAATGGATAAATGGTTACTGGGCCCCAAGAAACAATTCTCTTAAGCCCCTTAGAAGTCTGTGGCCCATTATATGTTAACCCATTTTCTGGCCCATTCTCCAAAGACAACCCAAAATTCAAATCAGGCCCAAACTTAGGCCCATCAGAGGCTTTGAAAGGCTTTTGTTATGCCACGTGTCCTTCTACGTGGTTGGTGGCCAGCTGGGCGATCAAACCGAAGATTTGATGGGCACTGTTTAGGGGCGTTATGTGCACTGCTCGGAAGTCTGCTTTCCCCAGTCGCGGCAAGCGTGTGAGAGGACACTTGTCTTTGTCCTTGAGAACTCAGGTGGATTTGCAACTTCCGGCGACGTGTACCTTTGTTCGTTTCGTCAACATGAGATGGGTTGTTTCGCGTGCACATAAATCATCCCATCATAATTAATTGACACATAGTTCAAACTCTTGATTTTTGGTCTATGTTCTTGGTTGTTTTTGGTGTGGATTGGGTTGTTTCGCGGTCCACGGTGGATATGTTAGAGGCTTGGAAAGGGTGTACAATGGAGAGCCGAGTCAGTGATGCTTGAAGGGCCACTCCCCTTCGTTTATGGTGGGGTTTGTGGCATGAGAGGAATAGGAGATCCTTTGAGGGCGAAGAGTCCCCCATTTGTTCTCTTGTATTCATATACTGTCTACTCTCTCTTTTTTTTGGGGTGAATGGGCGAAATTGCATATCTATGGATGTTCTTTTGGATTTTGTAGATAGCTTGAAATTATAGTGCCCCCATGGGCACCTTTTGTTCTTTGGGAGCGCTCCCCTCTTGAGTGCCTTTAATGAAATTTTACTTATAAAAAAAAAAATTAATTGTAAATGTCAAATTACAATCATTGGCTTTGCATGGCACACACAACCCCTAACACTCTGCACCATAGCCTAGGGTTATGTTCCTATATTTCTCATGAATCATTATGTATGAGACTTGGCAATTTAATTTGGTATTTTGGTGCTTTTAATTGCAATGTTCACTCTTATCATGCTTCTTTTTGTACTTGGTGCTTAGTTTGTTTCTTAATTTTCCGTTCTTTATTTGCAATATAAAAATTTATATTTGAAGTCTTTTCATCCAGTTCAGACCCTATTATTTCTGTTTTCCCTTGTTTCTTTGACACAATTTATGATTTTCATATCTTCATCACAAATAAAAAAACATTTAATTCTAACACAGACAATGTTTAATGCAGTGTGTTAAGTGTCCACTTAACAAGTTCAAAGTCTTTGGTTGGAATTGCTGGGTTTGTGTCAGAAATTCAGAAGGAGAAAAAGGTTTGTCCCACCCACCCACCCACTTTTTTTGTTATATAGGAGTCTACCGCCCAAACAAAATAAAGAAAATGAATAGCACGAGGATGAGCTATGCTCATGATATCTGCTTGAAGACATATTCTCCTTTAGTGAATAACTTTATTTATTTATTTTTTGGCTAAGTAATATTGTAGATAATTCAAAGTATAAGAGATGCATACTCTCCTCTATGTACATGAATCTTAACGCCAAACCATGAAGAAAACGAAAGAGAATTTCTAGATAAAATGGAATCAGGGGGATTGGATTTCCAAGTAACCGGTTGTGGTAGTTCTATCAACATTTGGGGAGGAACTCAATCTAAGTCTAACACAATCCTCCTTGATATCCTTCTGAGTGGAGGTAGCATCCATGTTAGAGTTTGTGACGCGACTAACAGAAAGTGTATTAGTAGCAAAGATAGGAACATGTAAAACAGAAGAGTGTGATATAGATGGATGATGACAAATTACTAGAAAAGTTTGGGACATGTAAAATAGTAGAGTGTGATATAGACGGAGAACAATAAATAAAACCTTTTTAAGAGAGATGACAAAGAGCCATCAGCTACTTTGACCTTTCTAAGGAGCATGTAAAGTAGGAAGAAGGCAAACTCGAAGAACCTATCATCTGATCTGTGGCCGCATAGTATATAATCCACGGTTGGAAGAGAAGATGCCAAAAGCACTGGCAGATATAGTTGTGACCTGTCCTCCACGGTCTCTTTGGCTTAGGAGTTGGCTTGTGTGGCCAACCTCTAGGTCTAGAGTTCTAGTATTGGTGGAGAAGAAGAGAGGAAAGATATAGTTGTGTGAGCAAAATTGGACACAGTAGGAGTAGAAGCCTTATCAAAAGTATGAAGTTTACGCATGACACGGTAGTGAAAGTAGCAGCATCAGTACTACTTAGATGAGAGCTGTCCTATGCTGTTTCAGACATATGAGCATGTGATTTCACTTTACTAGACTGCCCTCCACCTCGTCGTCGATTGGGATGATCATGATGCTTCCAACAGTTGTCCCTAATATGCCTCGTCTTACCACCAAAGTCACACTTGAGTAAATCTTTCTCTGGATTACTACTTCTGGTTTCAACTCAAGTCGGTCCTGATTTCTGAGGAATAGTTGCTAGAGCAATCATGGCATTCCTCCTACTCTCTTCCTGCTGAACACAAGAATATGTCTGCCTCAAGGAAGGAATTGGGTCCCTACCAAGAACCTGAATACAAATCATGTCACACTCCATGTTATGACCTGCTAGGAAATCATAAACTCGTTCCTTTTCCATGAATTTATGAAACTTTGCACTATCTCTTGCACAATCTGCCTAAAAATCCTGATAGTAATCTAACTCCCGCGACAAACTGTTAAGCTCTATATAGTTTGAGCAATAGTTATATTCCCCTGCTTGCTTGGCCTTGTGAACCATTTGTCTAAGTTCATGTTACCTGTGCATCCTTACCCATCTGAGAGTAGGTCTGACTCACAGCAATCTGTATATCACATGCTGAGTTAACTTAAAGGTTGCCACGTCTAATATGTGGTTGCATTGAGTTGAGTAACCAAGACATCACCAGTGAATTCTCTGCAATCCATTGATTGAAGGGTGGATTGGATGACCTTGGCTTCTTACTCACTCCTGTCAAGTTGACCAATTTAAATAGTCTTGTCCAACTTCACTGGACTAATTTTCTGTAAAGGGTTGTCTCTGAGGGTACGCATACAACTAAACGCTTCTCCCTTACTACTGGTAGACTCTGACCTGTGTACATAATGAATGGAGAACTACCCACAGAGTATAGAAGACCCAAAGCCAATTTTCTCACCAAAATCAAAATATTCAACTTGAATAAAGATGACCCAAGGAACTGTGCCATATTTTGATGAAAAACAGGAAGAACAATACCAGAAAAGGTGATGAACAACCCCGGGACGGTACCGGCTGCCCCCTTTTGCGACATAAACCTCCAAAATGCGACAAAGTTCAACCATAAATTCCAGATGGCTTTTGTGGCGCAACCTAGGGGCGTGATTCGGAGCATTGCAATTAGCCAAATAGTCCCCAGAGGAAGGAAAAAAAAAAAACACAGCCCCTGTTTTTCCAGAAATCATTCGAAAATTCAAAAACCACACCAAAAGGCTTCAAAAATTTTCGGAGAAAATACCGTGATGATCAGCATGAAGAGACAAGTTGAATCGTGTGGGTCTCGACTAATAAATCTGTACAGGCGCTGATTTTAGCACGATGCCAGTGTGCCGACGCTGATGTTAGCACACTTCTTACTGGTTCTAAGCTGCAACAATAGTTAAAACACTTCGATCGTACACTCTGATTCCAAGTTGGAATTCTGTAATAGAGGAGAGAAGATGTAAAATGGGTTGAGAATGAGTATATTTCCCTTGTCTCTACGCTCTTATTTGTATTACTTAAATTATTGATAATTACATTAAAGGCTGTACTGTAGAACATATTATTCTAACAGTTCCATACGTGTTTAGAGATGGCAGTTTGATTCCTAGAGATTAGATCCTTCACACCTAGTCCCCCCCCTAAACTTTAGGCTAATATTCAAACCAAGTGACCTAAGCAGCTTCTCGATTCTGCAAAGAAGTCCCTTTCAATAGAAACCTACTCAAAATTTGTTGAACACAATATATAGTTTGTTTTGGAAGCATAAACAAGGAGGCCCAATAAATCTTTATGGAAAAGAGAAAAACATTTATGAGTTGAATAGTCCCTGCAAAAGATTGATATTTGTCTGGCGATGTTTCTCTTCAAAAAAGCTCTAAAGTCAGCCATCTTCAATATAGTAGAAATTAGAGGCACTGCAGGTGTTCCACAGAAAATTTCCTTTTTTGAACTCCTATTTCTGCAATAATATTGGACTTTCTCATGATCCTCAACCCCAGAATTATAAATGTGGCTCTTCTCCTGGTTAGGCGGTAAACCTTAAAGCTCATAAAACACTTGAAGGCTACTCTTTTTTTATTTTTTTTTTATTTTTTTTTTTTGTCTAGTTGGGACTCACACACACTGCCTCCACTGAGGTTCGAACCCCTAACCTCCCTTTGGGAAGTAGGAGCCTTGTACCGCTAGGCCACATGCCTGTTGGTACTTGAAGGCTACTCTTAACAGAGAGGATGAGGTCCGTAGAACCTACAGAGTAGACAAATAAATCATCTGCAGAACACAAGTGATTTAAGCTCATTATTAATGGTATTCAGTTTTCGAGCCTGATTTGTTTCTGTATTAACCCACTCAATCTCTCCATGGCCACCACAAAAAGATATGGGGCAAAGGATCGCCTTGTCTAATGCCTTTATTGCTTTTAAAGTAGCTATTCAACTCTCCTTAACAATGACTGAAAATAAAGCAGTAGAGATACACAAATTTATCCAATTTATGAAAACAAAGGGAAATCCCATAGCAGCTAACGCTTCCTGAGAAGTATAGGAATGTAACCCTTAGCTTTGATGTAGAGTTGATATTGCTCAATTTTAACTAACAATAACTGATTTTTATATTTAGAACGCAGCAATATAAATCAGTTAACACATAGAGAGAAGAGACAAATAAACCAGACAACCACACAAGAATAAAAGAGATTTGTTTAGATGGAAACTCCAACGGGAAAAAGAACAGGACGTAGTTCAGGATGATTATATTCCCTATAAGAGAGAGATGTTACAAACCAGACTCTAATCTAAAATTCCCTTAGTCCCTCCACACTCAAACTTATGCAAGATCAGACCTAGACCATCCAGCTGCTGATCTATTGATAGACTCATTCGTCATGCATTTTGCTTCTCCATGGACTTTTGATCTCCAGTGACTAGTGACGTCTGTTTGTCTTTTGTTTGTGTGAGTTGGTTTTTGTGATAATTTGGGTACCACAAGTTGACGATCAACACTACGAATAATACCAAGTAAAAGTAAAATAAAGAAAAAATTGGAGGGCCTCTTTACAATCTTCTCTCTTTGTATCCTTCCCTTTCCATTCACAATCTTATCCCAACTCTCCTCTTCTCCAAACACACACGACTGATCATTTTTTCAATAAATATGTGCACACATGAGCTAATTGTGGGCTGGAGCTTGGTGTTGCAAAGGCAAGTAATCTGGTCCATTCTATATATATATATATATATATATATATATATATATATATATATATATATATCTATATATATATATATTACACACGTGTATATATATTGTTAATGTAATAATCTGATCAATTCACGGATGTCTTATATTATATTTGTTGTTTTGAAGCTTAAATCTTGTTGTGTATGAGTTTTAGAGAGAAAAAGTTGTTAAAAAGAGGCCCAGTTTGCTTATAAATTCACGATCGACTCTCCCGAATCAGCTATCTGACTCGGGCGAGTCACCTCCTATTCTCCTAATTCTTGCTGATTCTATCCTGATTTGAGTGGAGTCTCACCAGTCACATGCGTTCTTCATTCTTACCTCTAAATCGGGTTGAATCTGACTTGCTAGGGCCCGAAACCAAGGGGACTTGGCCAAGTCTCAGCGAACCAGGATGTTAATGCTACTAATTTGATTCCACAAATAGTTATTTAAGCACTAAATTGACCATCCATACAGTGTACTTGGTATGGACGAGTTAAAAAAGCTTCAATAGTGGTACTCTATGTTTAAACACTATCTCTTGGATGATTTACCGCCCTTTTAATCAATAGATCACATAATGCAGTCAAAATCATGACAGCAAGATGGAAATTTTTATGATATGAGATTTTCCCTAGTTATAAGGGGTACAATTTTACTTATAAAAAAAAGGGGGTACAATTAGATATATATTTTTTACCCTACCTTTTAATGGGATGCACATCATTAAAATTCTTATGTCCGACTTGTAACTGTGATCCTTCATACGTTCTCATAGTTTCAACAATACTGCATGCCATAAATGGCTTGTCCTTACTCAGTGGTCGTCCTTTGGCCTGCTCGCCCAACCTGATTCAAATACCTAAGCCCAAGCCAAGCTTGGTAGGTCTAGCGTGGCCGGATAAGCCGCATGGGCTGACCAGGCCTAGCGGGTGTTGGTTACTATACAATGGTTAGGACTTGAACCCACAACTTTCGTTTGGAGAGGTTGAGTACAAATTGCTCAAGGCAAGATTTCAATTGTTAAAAAAAGTGCATAGAAGTTATATATATATATATATATATATATTCATTTTACAAGACATATTATTTGATTATAACTTGGGTGCACAATTAAATATAAGTTATATATAGTATGTTATATTTAGATAGACAAGTTATGTAAATTATAAAACTAATATATATGTGTAAACTCATATGCATAGCTTTTAACAATCAAACTCTTGGTTTGAGTGGTTTGTACCACCTCCCCGAATGGGAGGTTGTGATTTTGAGTCCCAGTGGAAACAATTGTGTTGGCATATAAAAAACAGCCGAAAACAATCTGGGCCAGGCTCAAGGGTCTCTGGGGCCGACAGCCTGGACCCTAGGCCCAAGGCCACCCTTTAGGGGATACGGGCGAGTCTGGCTGGCCAGCATGGCAGGCTGGGGATGGAACTAGTCCCGTGGGCTCTGGCTGGTGCCCGGTCAGGTTGCGGGCCATTTGGTGACACCTGTCCTTACTCCAGTTCTGCTCCCTCTCCATCTCCCCCTTAAAACAAAAAATAAAAAATATTAACAGAAAAGAAAAGTGTGGTTCCAAAATATTGACCTAATCATGTCTATTTTATTAAACACTGTACTCTGATTCTTGCTTGTTATTCTACTGAAGTTCTTGATGCTGACTTTTGTTATACAGGGACGGGACGTGTACATTCTGGTCAGTAACTTCCTGACTTGGAAACTTGGAATTTGATATGCAGAGTAAAGTCAACAAATAGTTATACTTGCTATTAATTTGATTGACTGAGTTGTCATGTTATTGTAGTATCTATTGATTGCCATCTCATGAGGCTAAAAACCAAGTTAGGAGATAGGACAATGAACTTTTTAGGAGATATCTTCTTGTATTTGACTTCACATTAGTTATGAGGAAACTCTAATCTCCCAGTCGTATTTTCCTTCTTAGTTTTCCCCACTTAGTTTCTTTTAATAAGACAAAAAACATCAAGGATTATGTATTTAATTTATATGGAATCAAGAGTTTTCAGAAGTAGAATGTAAAAAAATGACCATGATAAAGCTAGAGCTGAACTAGTTCCCAATTGGACTGCTCAGTATCCAGAAAATGTTAACGTCTAGTGTTCCACAAGATCAAATCAAGAATATAAATAGAGTTTTTATAAAATAAAGAATTTTGTGAAAGAATATTGAAAAGAAAAGTATGTTTGTGGCTGTCCTCTGGGGGATTTGGCAAGAAAGAAATGCTAGATTACATGGTACATCCCACAAATGGCTAGACAACTGCTCTTTGAAGTTCTTGATGTCCAAAATGCTTCTTTTCATGAACTACAAGTATAGGACCGATGTACTCTACTTAAGTTTGTATTGGAAATGGGCATTTTCATTAATGGAAGGCCTATATTCCAGGGTTTCATTTTGTTATCTCTGAGGGTATGCCCTCTGTGCTTCTGTACTTTATTCTTTCCATCTTAATGCTAAAACTCACCAATTATGGAGAAAAAAAAAAAAAAAAAAAAATATTGAAAAGATAAATGTCGTAACAAATTAGAAAAAAAAATGTCATAACAAATCAAAAGCTTAACTAGTTCCCACAAGTGAAAAATTCTGTTTATTTTAATGACAATAGTGCTCTTCTTATCTATAGGCTAAAAGGAAATTGCTATCCCAGCTAGAACTAAGTACCTATTCACATCTACCCATGTCATTATTTAAGCCTACCTCTGTTGTACCGCATTTAAGTCAAGGTGGCTTACCACTTACCATCTACCCATTCCTATCCTCATACCAGAGTGATACCTATTCCTGGTTACATTAGGACATTCTTGATTTTGGTGATATTAGTATTTCATACCGATTTGTGGGCTAAAAGAAAACCACTATTCTAACTAGAAGTATTTCATTACATTCTATTTCAATATATACACTTACTCTTATCGCACCACATTTTAAGTCATGTAGTGTACCACAGTTCTGTTCCTCCACAGACTGGAAAGATCCACCATTCGTGGTTAGGTTGGCTTCTATTAGAACAAAGTAGAGTGAAAGAAGCAAGGCCCACTGTATCTCGAACAAAATCAAACTTTAGAATCAAGTATCTACTTTTACCTTCTTAAATCTCACAATTTGAATTTCAAGATTTATTGAATTATACTCTAATAAGAAGCTAATTAGTTATATTCTTTTAAAACTTTAATTGAATTAAGTATTCATTCTTGGAATTCCGACGATTACTAACATGTTATTCATTTTCTTTTTCGGACAGGTAATAGTAGTTACATTGATATTCTAATCCCAAGTCTTACATATTGGTCTCATCTTGTAGCCTTTTATTATTATGAGCAGTGAATTTTTTTTTTCCCCTTAAAAAAAATCTCTGCAGGAAGTCACAACAAAGTTCTCTAAGCAGAAATAAGGGCATACTTTGTAGAATCCAATTACTGTATGCCATTTAATTTTTGCTGTTATATTTAGCTCCACCTTGCAGTCACTCGTGTGCATCTGGGGACGATGAAGCATGAGAATTGGGTTCCCGAGTCCATATACTTGAATCTAAAATTCGTGATTCAACCATCCATATACTTGATTATGAAGCGAACTTATTAACCTTGAATATCCATTCTGCATGCCTATTTTTTTTTTCATGGGTAAATTTGGAAAATTTTATAGCTATAAAACATATAGTACAGAACATCTTCAAGGGCATCCCCTTGGGACAGCATGGACATTGCTAGCAGCAATAGTCCTGGTAATAGTAGAACAGGCTAGCATAAAACAGCAAATAAAAGAAAATACAGCAGTCAACTAGCATCAATGACAATGGGAGATGAAGTCTCCCATGGACATGTCAGCAAGCAACAGGACCTCCCACCACACACCTCTAGCAATGTCATCACACATTCTGCATGCCTTTCTTCATCTTCTAGGCTTCTAGCTAAAGTCATGTATATTTATGATGTTATCAGAAATAAATTTGAGCAGATTTATTCATGAACGGCTTCATGGTTTAGAATCTTGTGATGGTTATGCTTGTGGAACTGAACATGTTTCATTCTTTTTCTATGAGTAAGTTATGAGTCGGGGAGAGAAACCTCTATTTAAACATTTTCAAGTTCTCAATGTACATACATTATTTTTTAACCTCACCATCTGGTTGCATATGGCATGGTAATCTGGGGCCACATTTTATGGGTTTTCCAGCAAGTACTTCATTTCATTGATGTCGTTACTATTTTTTACATGTATGTCAGCAACTGTTCTCAGATTTTTACATGAGTAAAAAAATCGAAATATGTATCACAGGGAAAATGGTGCCAATATTTGTGTAGTTGAATTCCCAAAAAAAAAAGAAAAAAGAAAAAAGAATTTAATGTTTAATTAATCAATCTGAATGGATTTCTTTTTTTGAGTCTTTTTCAAGTATGTCCATGACACCTTACATGAAATGCTTAGTATATGAGCCACTGATGCTTATATGATTTGGTGTAGTCAAAGATATGCAGTTTCTTACTTCTCTGTGAAGTTTGTTATGGCTTTTCTTTTTCTTTTTTCTTTGTCTGCATATTTAGTCGGACAAAATAAAAATAAAGGGAGGGTTTGTATGATTGGTGCTTTTTCTTGTGTTTTTAATTCATTAACTGGTTCTTGGTCCTTAGAATTTTGATTTCTATAGTTGCCCAGTTTTGATTTCGTCTTCTTCTTCTTCTTTTTTCCTGATAGAAATGATTTTGTCAATTTAGTTTATCTAAATTTATTGAGATTAATATATTACAGATGCAAATATGAATGTCAAACTCCATTATCTTACAGGGCTCAGCTAATGTTGGAAAATCCGCATTTATCAATGCTTTATTGAGTAAGTATATCTGATTTTATGTGTTTGCTTAGGTTACATTAACTGTTTTGATCAAACAAGTTAATATCTTGTGGATTTATTAGTCATTTATTTTGATAGTAAGTATAAGGTTTTTTTTTTTTAATGGTTAACATGATACTAGTTTCAATAATGTGCCTGTTAATTGAGGGTGCTGGGAGGGGTGTCCTGGACATAGACTTGCATTAATTGGCTGATCTTATACTCCAATCTGTATTCCCATGGTTGGCAAACCAAGCTTTTACCACTGCACCAAGCAATGACCCTTATACCAGTTTCATTCCTGCCAAACAGAAGGCCTTTGGCCTGATGGTTATTCAGTGAGAACTGCCTAGTCAGATTTGATATTTTATAGGTTCGGCAGCATTTTGTTTTTGTTTTTTGTTTTTTGTTTTAACTGTTTGTACATTATTCTTGTTGCTGCTTTCAAATATATTTGCAGTAATCATTCCTTTCCTCCTGGTTACATTTTTGTCCATGTTCTAATTTTCAGAAGACGATTGTCTTGCCTCATTTATATATTTTTAAAACCAGAGATGATGTCGTATAAAGACCCAGTTGCTGCAGCAGCACGAAAATATAAACCAATACAATCTGCTGTTCCTGGAACCACCTTGGGTCCAATTCAGATTGATGCTTTCCAAGGAGGTGGGGTATGTAATTTCTATTTTTGTGCTATTAGGAGCCAACTCCTTTGTCATCAAAGAAGTATGTTCACGTTCTTGGTACTGTTGTTATCATGTTGGCATGGCGGGAATGCAGCTAAACATGTGGAAGGAATGACATATAACCTGAAAAGACTTAAGAGTTAGAAAAAGAAGAGAAAATTCTCTAGAATTTTATAAATGAAGTAATAGTATTCCCATTTTTCCACTAATGCTGTTTTAGGCTCTATTAATGTTACACACAAGTAATAACCTTTTATTATCCTCCTAATTGATATAGGAACTTACGAAGACTCAAATCGGACTTCTAAGCCCAAAACATTTTAAGAATAAGATGACAAAACTTTGAGACCATTTAAAGAGAATATTTTGATAGTAAAATAAAAGATCTTTCCTGGTCACAAGTAATAACCTTCTATTATTCTCCATGATTCTTGTCCTATATTTTTCTTACCAATTCTGCTATATTTCTGCTTTATATTGTCACTGGTTTTTGTAAATGTATCTTCTTATCATTTCTCTTGTGAGTGACTTGTTAATTTTGGTTGCTTAGGGCATCAACTTTATCACCTTCTTATCTACTTCTAATGTTTACTGGATAAGTCTTTTCTTTGTTTTCTACATTTCAATATTAGTGAATTGGAAGGTTAATATATAAAATAATTCTTTGAAACCTAAAACAGATTTAACATTCTTTCTTCACTGTCATTCAGAAATTATACGACACGCCAGGTGTCCATCTCCACCATAGGCAAGCTGCAGTGGTTCATTCAGAAGATCTTCCTGCCTTGGCTCCCCAAAGTCGGCTCAGGGGCCAATCATTCCCAGTATGTATTTTTATTTCTCCAGTATTCCTTTGGGATATCACTGTCAACATCTGCTATTTAGTTATAATTGTCTTTATTTTTTACTATGCAAAAGTATAATTCTCAGATAGCCTTGGACAAGTTGACGGCAGACAGAATTGAATCCAATGGCCTTATTGGTTTTACAATATTTTGGGGAGGTCTTGTCCGAATTGATGTCATAAAGGTTTTTAACCTTATAATCTCATTTTATTTGGTAGTCAGACCAGTTATTGGTGCTTTTCATTTTTTTGTTTTCAATGTCCGCTCAATTTTTGGTGTTTCTAGGTTCTCCCACAGACATGCTTGACATTCTATGGACCCAGGGCACTGCAGATTCATATGGTTCCTACAGATAAAGCAGATGAATTTTACCAGGTAATTTTGAATTATGTTTCCATAGATTGGTAGGCGCTTTTGTTTTTTTGTTTTTGTTGTTGTATTGCTCGAATTTGGGCCAAATAAAACAGAATTAATAGAAAGAAAATTAAATTGTTTTTTAATATGTAATTATCTTTTAGTATAGAGAAGCTTCTTTTGTTCATCGTGATTTGTATCAAACAACCAATGTTGTTTTCCAACCAAAACAAATTTTCATTGTCGCCTTCTAGAATACTTTTCAATTTTTGGCGAAATAACCCCTTGGAATATGATTAAATTCAAGTTAGAGCCAATGGATATCTGCAGTGGCGGAGTCAGGAAATCAAGTCAGTGGGGGCAACCATTAACAATAATATATAAACAAAATTTGAACCAAAATAATCTTGAAGTGGCCTTTTTTGTTTGGACTGCAGTTTGGGACAAGATCTTGATGCTTGATAACCTGAGGAGGAGGAGACAGGTTACTGTCAATTATTGTTGCATGTGTAAGAGGGATGGAGAGTCTGTGGATCACCTCCTCTTGCATTGCCCTGTGGCTCACGACTGTTGGAGTCTTATTTTTGGTTTGTTTGGCATCCAGTGGGTTGTGCCTCAGTGTTTGAGGAGATTGATTGACGCTTGGAGAGGTTGTTTCATGAGATCCCACGCCTGCTATTTTTGGAGGGTGGCTCCCTTCTGCGTTTGGTGGTGCGCGTTTGGAAGGAGCGGAATAGAAGATCTTTTGACTGGGACGAATCTTCCATTGGGGCTTTGAAATTTTTTGTTGGGTGATGGGGGGAAATTGTAAGTCTATAGAGGAGATTGTTGATTTTTTGGGTTCTTTGGGTCAATAGGACCTCCTTCTTTGGCTTTTGCCTTTGTGTAGCTTTCAGGATGCATTCCTCTTTTGAACGCTTTCTAATACATTTTTACTAATCAAAAAAATAAATAATGAGTAGCAAATGAGGGGTTTTTTTCCTTTCTGAATTTTGATTTTAAAAAATTTTCTGGAACCAGCAGAGGAGAAAAGACATGTCTTTTCTGAATTTTAAAAAGTTGTTGGAGAAATGAGTTAGAAAATGAGGAATATTTTTTACTATTGAAAGTTTTTCTTACGGTCTTTTGTGAACTTTAGGAGTTCAATCGGGGACACTCTTATAATTATCAAAATTTGTATATAGAAAATACAAATAACAGAAAATTCAATAGCAAAGGAGGAGTCTTTTCTGAATTTTGATTCTTAAACATGTGTCTTTTCTGAATTTTGATTCTTGAACAGGGATCTTATTTACTTTTGCGAGTTTTTTTAAGGTATTTTATGAATTTTTTAAAAATTCAGTGGGGGGCACTTTTAGAATTATTGAAATTTATGTATAGAAAATGCAAATTCAGTGGGGGCACTTTTAGGTCTCAATATGGCTCCGCCACTGGATATCTTTCAGCTCCATACCGTTGTTACAAAAGGTTTCATTAGCACCCATGTGTCACTTTCTTAAAGGTTCATTGACATCTCCATATGGTAGCGCGAGTTGTTGAAATATCTTTGTATGAATAGTAGATAAGCTGGAGCAGTAGAAACTGCTGCTTCCAACTACGGGGGAGACCTAAAACCGGTATTGATATTTCGAAGGGAGAGTAACTGTCCTTACCATTATCTTGGTATCTTGAATTCACTCTTTGCTAGCGGTATAACAATATCTGGGTTCTGATGACAATATAGCAACCATGATATGCATAATTTGGAGCAAGGTCTGAAATTTCATTAAAGGACAATCACCAAATATATGGTGCCATGGGGTGTTAATACAAGCCATATGAAGAGAAGACGTCCAACAAGATATGGTTTTTGTCGATATCTTCGTATTTCCTACATGCATGGTTTAGAGAGTGCAGGTTTCTAGGTCCATTGGAAATGGTACTGGACAAGACTTGCCTACTCACCGGTGAGTAGATCATTCATACTGACCGCTGATATTGTCCAATCAAAATTGCACAAATAATCTCTAATTACAAAATCAGGAAAGTGATAAATAAGGAAATTAGAGAGGGTGATTGAATTATTCTAAAAAATGTTATTGTCGTTATTTATCACTTTTCTGATTTTGTAATTACGAATTATTTGTGTATTTGTGATTGGACCACATTAATGGTCAGTATGAATGACCTACTCACCGGTGAGTAGGCAAGTCTTGTCCAATGGCAATCACTATAAAAGTGGTGTCATTGAGAATCAAAAACATCTTTGACTATCATTGTCTGCAACACATATTAAACATATAAATTTCTAACCAGATGTGATGTAGGGCCAAAACGCTTTGATACCAAATTGACGTAGGACCAAAAAGAAAACAGGTGATGAGAAAATATAAGAGATGAGAATAGAAGAAGAGGGTGAGAGGAGAGACGAAGAGAGTGAGAAGGCAGATTGAAAAGATAGGCTAGGTAAACTGAGGGGTTGAGAAGAGCCAGAATAATGAAGAAGAACAAAGGCATGGAAAAATCTAAACAATACGATAATCAATATTCCAAAGGCTAATGAGTTCTGTTATATGTGGCCTTTTATAGAAAAACCCTAAAATAAAACAATATACTTAATAAATACTATAATATCTATTGAAATATCTTTATTATTATTATTATTATTATTATTATTATTATTATTATTTTTATTAGCTGTTTTTAGCCTTTTATTAGGTGTTTTATGTAAGATCCCCGTAATCATTGGATTGCGTAGATAAGATCCCCGTAATCATTGGATCGCTTAGATAACTTCCCTATAATCATAGGATCGCTTAGATAACTTCCCTATAATCATAGGATCGCGTAGACTTTGGCATCTTTCCTGTTTTTCTTTGATTTGGTTTACTTTTTCTTGTACCATATTCTTGTATATAAATATAGCTCTTGGCTCTCAGTTTGAGTAAGCTGAAACCCAAAACTTCTTCTTTTTGGTATCAGGGCAAAACAAAAACCTTCGCCTCCCCATCTTCCTCCCCAACGCCACCACCTTCTCTCTACCTCTCTCCATTTTCCTCACCTCCGGCGCACCTCTATCTCCTTCCAGCCCTTGCACCGGACCCCTCGGGTAACCCTCTGTTTTGACTCCTTTTTAGGAGAATTCCCTTAGGTTTTTTATGACCTAAGGGCCCTTCTGGTGTTTTTTTTTTTCTTTGTGTGCTGCTAGTGTTTGTTTGACAGCATATTTGGAGGAAAGCGCCGATTTTTCCGGCTTTGTTTTTCTCTTTCCTCCTGCTTTGACGTGTGGACCAGCTTTACTTTGGTACTATGACTCATTCTAAGCCAAACGAACACTTTATCCTCGGTCCAGCATACTTTATCTTCGGCACATCATACTCCGGCGCAGCGGGTTACTAGTGTGCTCTTAAATGGGCGCAACTTCGTATCTTGGTCCTGTTCTCTTAAACTTTATATTGGTGGGAAAGGGAAAACTGATTGATTTTTGTGTCTAGTCAAGGAACTGGAAAAGATGGATATTAAATATATTGCATGGAACATGGTGGACAGGTGCACCATTCTGGGTTGGATCTTCAACTCGATGGAGGAACGTATCTATATATGTTCATGTTTCACACTTCCGCTTTTCGTCTGTGGCAAGCCCTTAACAAGATGTATGCCCACTCTCGCAATGACGCTTGTATCTTTGAACTTTATCAGGAGGTTGCTCATGCATCTTAGGAGACACTCGAGCTGTCACTATCAGAGTATTTCGGGTATCTCTAGTCTAGGTGGGAAGAATTAGCACAGTATAAACCTCTTTCCGATTTCTCTGAAGAAGCTGCAACTCTTTTGATCAAGAGACTGGACCGCCAGCATACCTACCACTTTTTGATGGGTTTAAGATCCGAGTATGATGCCCTTAGAACTCAGATCATAAACACCTCTCCTACCTGATTTATATAATTCTTTCGCTACTGTTGACGATGAGGAGTATAGACGTTAGATCTCTCAGCCAGTGGCTTTACTAGAGACTCTTGTTGATTAGATGGCTCTTGCTTCTAATTCTAGACTTTCAGAGGAAAAAGTTATTTGTCAATATTGTGGAGCCACAGGTCATGTAAAGGATCGCTGCTTTAAGCTTCATCCCGAGCTAAAACAGAAATTTTCTCACAATCGTCCTTCTAGCCGTGGTCACACTGCCGCAGTAGTCGATACTATTGGTGGGTGTACTACTCCACATATTGTTCCTCTTGCTTCAACTCCTTCCAGACTAGCTTTCAGCCATTTCAATGATGTAATTCTATCCATGGAGTTTGTTAGATGTCATTCTAACCATACATGTTTTATCCACCGTTCCTTCACTGGTGAATGTTTAATTCTTCTTGTCTATGTTGATGATATCATCATTACTGGCAATGACATCCCTAGGATTGCTCAAGTAAAGCTTCAATTGGCTAAAGCTTTTGATGTGAAAGACCTTGGGCAACTCAGATATTTCTTGGGAATTGAGGTTGCTAGATCTAAACAAGGTATCTCTTTATCGCAAAGGAAGTATGTCTTGGATCTTCTTCGAGACACGGGTATGCTTGGGTGTAAATCTGCTTCCACACCTATGGATCCTAATATGAAGATCTCGGTTGAATCTGGAGATCTCCTTTCTGATCCCTCGCAGTATCAGCGTTTGGTAGGAAGATTGATTGATCTTATCAACACCCGTCTTGATTTGGCTTTTGTGGTTAGTGTTGTAAGCCAGTTATGGATGTGTTGTATCATATTCTTCAATATCTTAAGTCCTGTCTTGAACTTGGATTATTCTATTCTTCTAGCAGGCAGGTTGGGTTATCCTGTTTCAGTGATGTAGACTATGCTGGGACTGACAGGCGTTCTACATCTGGCTTTTGTACTTTCTACAGAGATCATCTTATATCCTGAAAAAGTAAGAAGCAAGCTGTAGTTTTGAGATCTTCAGCAGAGGCTGAGTATAGACTATAGAAGTGGACATTCATTTTATCAGAGAGAAGCTAGAGCTAAGTTTAAAACAGTCCTCAGCCTTGTTTTGTGATAATAAGTTAGCCATTATGCTTGTTTCAGATTTTGTTATTCACGAGAGGACTAAACATATAGACTATAGAGGTGGACATTCATTTTATCAGGGAGAAGGTTCGTTCGGGAATTATCAAGCCATGTTTTGTCCGGTCCTTTAATCAGTCGGCTGATGTGTTCACCAAATCCGTTAGTCCATCTTTGCTTCATTCCTCGATTACCAAGCTGGGCTTGATTGATATCTTCACTCTAGCTTGAGGGGGAGTGTTGAAATATCTTTATTATTATTATTATTATTATTATTAGCTGTTTTTAGCCTTTTATTAGGTGTTTTATATAAGATCCCTATAATCATGGGATCACGAAGATGAGATCCCTATAATCATGGGATCACGTAGATTTTGGCATCTTTCCTGTTTTTCTTTGATTTGGTGTCCTTTTTCTTGTTCCATATTCTTGTATATAAATATAACTCTTGGCTCTCAATTTGAGTAAGCCAAAACCCGAAACTTTTTTTTTTTTATTTTTTTTTTATATCCAGTAAGCACTAAAAATGAAAATACTACAATATCCCTAACTAAAATGTCCCTACGATTTTGAACGATCCTCTAGCAATCCTACCTTGACCTTGGTTGATATTATCCAAGTCTGTTAGTGTCAGGATCATGTGCTGGATCGATTTAGGGTCTATAGGATCAGATTGAGGATCATAAGTTCCCGCAAAATTAATTAGAAAAACACTATAGCATTTCAGAAAAATAGAAACATTATCACGAACACATGTAACATGCATTTATACACAAGTTCACGCAAGTAAATTTGATAATGTAGCTCATAAGGTAGAATCCTAATGACATGCCATTTCCATATAAGTTTTTTATGGGAAGGACGAGGTTTAGATCCTTTCATTCTGATTTATTTTTATTTTTATGAAATGTATGCTTTATGATACCAAAGTTACTATTTTATGACACACCAAGAAAATTTTGTAACACAACCAACTAAAAATCAATTCCACATGGGACTGTATTTTGTTGCCTCTCTTGCTGTTGACAAAAAAAAATAAAAAATCAATTTCACACATGCCTTGACAACCAATATTTCTGATAAACTGTTTAAAATCAATCCATTTTACAAATATTTCTGATTTTTTTTGTATATTTGAATGATCCTTAGTGATCCTATGACATGATCCTGAGCAATCCTACGATTTTGAACAATCCGCTGGTCATCCTACCTTGACCTTATCTCTTTTATCAATAATTTTACCATGACCTTCTCTCTGTAGTTTTTCATATGATCCAGATTGATTTGATTACCATGATTCTGATAATCATGACATTATGGCAACAATGACATGCATACTCTTAGAGGGTGCATGTTTGAAGCTTCATGTGCAATGACAATAACCATGGAATGGCATCACTGGGGGGTGAAAAAACTCCTTTTCATAGTTAAGCTCATCATCATAAAAGGAATTGTCATGATCCTCCTTAGAGTCCTGTAAACTGCTTGAAGGAACAAAAATATGCCCAGCCGCCAACAAACATCTAGGCCAGCTGTCTTATTGACTTGTTTGTTGTTTATGTTGCATTGACATAGGCAATGGTTTTGGGATTGTTGAAATGTATGGTTTGGTTTCAGCAAGCAGCGAATTCTGAAAAATTAGATTAATGTAATGACGTTATATGTCAAAATGATATCAAATTTATTAGATCAAACATTACTATCATATGAATTACATCATTTATATATATGTATATGTGTTTATGTATGAGCTCATATATGCGTGTGTATGTTTTACACATGTATATTACTATTGTGAGGGGCTTTCGTGATCGTAACAATCGTATTTTTTTACTAACGAACTTTGATGTTAGTAGCAAACACTGTTTATACGATATGGTATATCTTCATTCATGATGTGCAAATGACAAAAAGGACTTTTGGAGGGTCACTTTGGAATCTGATGTGGCTACTTAACTCATTTAGGAGTATCTAGTAACACAGCTTGTGCTTGTATTGGTCTTGTGTTTTTTCCGTCATCCACACGTGTTTATCTGAACTTTGCTCCTTTTCTGACCTTCTTTCTTCCATTTCAGTAAATATCTTCACATCCTTTCAGATCTACGAGTGCCAAGATTTATCACAATTAAGCTGAATATTTTTATTTTTGTTTATTTATTTGTTATTTATTATTATTATTTCTGTTTTTTGTAGGGAATGAAATTATTGAATACGAAATCATATTGTTCATTTAAAATTATTGAAATATAAAGCAGTATTTAGTTATTACTTCCATGGTGTTTGCAATGTTGTATGTGAAGTTTAAAATTTTTATGCGAAGATAATGAGAGACATTCAAACTCTATAACTACTGCAAGCAAATTTCTTTCATCTCTGTTGAAGTTCCTTTGCATGGTCTCTTCAGAACTGTGCATCCACAAATTTTCTCATCCTTCCATTGGATGACATAGTTTTACCTTATTTTTGCAGAAAGAACTTGGAGTTTTATTGACACCTCCAAATGGGAAACAAAGAGCAGAAAACTGGATGGGACTTGAAACAGAACGCCTACTGCAGATAAAGTGTGAAGATGCAGAGAGGTGTGGTTAACATTTTATATGGTTATGTTTTTGGTGGTTGTTGAGGTTGCTAATTTTCAGTGTTCCTTTTATTTTTTTATTTTTTTATTTTTTTTTAAGAACAATAGTTGCTTCTTTATAGGCAAGGAGGGAATTATTGTTCATATTAGCATGTTTAACATTTTTTATCTTCTTTGCTTGAGCAGGCCTGCTTGTGATGTTGCCATATCCGGTCTTGGATGGATCGAAATTGAACCAAGAAGCAGATTGTCCGGAACTTCAGGTTTGAATACAGATGCAACTGCCCAAGAGCTAGTCTTGGCTGTCCATGTCCCCAAGCCTGTTGAGATTTTTGTTCGGCCTCCATTGCCAGTGGGCAAGGCCGGAGGGGAGTGGTACCAGTATCGAGAGTTGACGGAGAAGGAACAGGAAGTAAGACCAAAGTGGTACTTTTGATAGAGAATTTTTGTGTATAATTAATCAAATTGCAACGTATAGGCATATGTAACTAAACAAAAACTGTAATTCTATATACCATTGGTTATTTATGAAGGAGGATAGCACAATCTGCAATGATTCTATTTAGTAAATTTCGTGCAATTGTGCATATTTTGAGGGCGTTAAAAAATTATTCATTTCCATGTTCATTCTAGTTTATTTATTTATTTTTGAATGGGGATCTTATGGTAAGTAGTTTAAATCCAGGATACTATGGATGATTGGAATTGAAACTTATGTAATGGAGAAACTCCCAAAGATAAATTGTGAATCTATGGGATAGCTAATTTGTCTTGTGGCTTTTGATGCAAGTGGAACACTATTAGCATCATTGCATCATTACTGCAATTAGTTAATATAATATGTAAAATTACAATTATATAATGTTTGACTATATAGAATTGGAATCCAAATTGAGATTGGTGAAATTGGAAAAAAATTGTTTAACTTTCCAAGATAGTTATTATTATTATTATTATTATTATTTTTAATTCCACTAATTTAAATTTCATAAGGTTACGTCTTTGGAGACATGGAATTGAAATCTTGGAATTAAAATTAGTGGAATTGGAGAAAAGAACTTAGAAAATTGAACTAAATTTTTTTTCAATTTCAACCCATTTCAATTCCAAAGAAACACAGCTTAATTCTAATTTTATGCTGTCCAATATAGTCTCCAAAGTGTAATTGAAAATTATAAAAAATAAGGAAAGTGTCACCTCTTGCTCTCATTTCGGTTCAGAGCCTCAAACAAAAGAACACCCTTTCCTGGGATTAACCTCCTTTTTCTCTCTCTCTCTCTCTCTCTCTTTCATGTCCTTCTCTCTCTAAAAACCAACTCAAGAAAAACATATTAAGGTAACACTCACTGAACATGGCAGATTATGCTGCAACAATCTCTCACTCCCAAGCTCAATTCTTCTCCACCACGTTATTTCTTTCTTTCTTTTGAGAAAACCTATTGTATATATATATGTGTGTGTATTGTATTACAGTATATTTCTAACTTCAAATTTCACAAAATCTAATTTCATGTTAATTGCCGATTTTAGAAAATGCCATTATGAATCGCTGGGGTAAAATTGGTTGTTTCTATTTTTGATTTAACTTGATATAAACTTTGATATATCGATTGAAAAATTTCTTTAAAAAATTTATCATATCACTCCATTTCAATTTGTTTACCATCTAAAATTATCATAATAGTATCACTTGAAAATCACATACAAACGTTGTTGCATTATTTTGCCGACTAAAACAATCTTGTAATTCGTAATGACGAAATTGCTCTTCTCACGCTACAATTTTAGTAAATAAAATATTAATATACTAATAAAGACATTATTGTTATTTCGCAACAACTTAATAGTTTCGTCACAAAAAGGGGTCAATATAATAATTTTTGCTAATCTAGGGGGCTGTTTGATAATTGAGCCCAATTTAGAATCTGATTGCATTAGGAAAGGTGGGTCGGTTTTATGTCTATACACAGAGAAGGTGTCCCGACCAGCTTCAGGGGACCTGTTTATTATATCTATAGAGAGAGAAAGAGAGGAGCTGAAAGATGATGAAAAGAAGTGTCATTGGATCCTCAAATTTTAGAAATGGTGGTGCTCTCTCTCTCCAGAAAGTTATCGGTAACTCTACAACTTCTCTTAAGCATTATTGTGTTAGTTTCTTCATTGATTATCCATTTGCTATTGATAATTTAAGGGCTTCGTTTCATTCCCAAACTGGCAAAGATCAAAACCCTCAAAGTTTGAGTAGTCAAACCCATTTCATGAAGTCTCTGGGAAATCAAAATGGGTTTGATTTCACTAACCTTGACGATGCACTTGCATTGTTTGATAAAATGTCTCAAATGCGACCTCTTCCTTCAATTGTGCATTTCACTCGATTGTTAGGGGCCATTGTGAGAAAGAAAAATTACACCACTGCGATTTCTTTGCTTAAGCAAATGGAGTCCTCAGGAATAGCTGAGCCAGACGCTTATACTCTGGGCATCTTGATGAATTGTTACTGTCACTTGAATCGGGTGGATTTGGGTTTCTCTGTTCTGGGGAGAACTTTGAAGCTTGGTTATGAAGTGGACAGTGTGATGCTCAACACTTTGATGAAGGGACTCTGTAGGGAGGATAAAATAGGTCAGGCAGTAAAGTTGTTTAATGACATGGGGGCAAAAGGATTTCGACCTAATACGGTTACTTGTGGAATGATTATAAATGGGTTGTGCAAATCAGGGAACACCAGCGCAGCTATTGAGTTGGTTAAGAAGATGGAAGAGAGAAATTGGGAAACCAATGTCATTGTTTATAGCATGATCATTGACAGTCTTTGCAAGGACAGATTGGTAGCTGACGCCTTTGACTTCTTTTCGGAAATGATCAGTAAAGGCATTTCACCAGATGTTGTCACTTACAACAACTTAATCCTTGGCCTATGCAATTCAAACCAGTGGAAAGAGGCTACCAAATTGTTGAATGAAATGGTGAAAAAAAAAATCAAACCGAATGTAGTAACCTTCAGTATATTGGTGGATGCAATTTGTAAGGAAGGGACGGTTGCAGAAGCAGTAGAAATAGTTGAAGGGATGATTCAAAGAGGTGAGGAACCTGATATAGTCACTTACAATTCATTGATGGATGGATATTGTTTGCAAAGCAAAATTCATGAGGCAAAGAAGATATTTGATTTGATGGTTGGTACCTGATGTTTGGAGCTATAACATCTTGATTACTGGGTATTGTAAGAAGCAAAGAATGGATGACGCTGTCAGACTTTTTCACGAAATTTCCCGGATGGGATTGGTTCCTAATACTGTTACTTACACCACTCTTATTGGTGGTTTCTGCCATGCAGGAAAACCTCTAGTTGCGCAACAACTTCTGAATGAGATGCGAACCTGTGGGCAACATCCTAATATTGTGACATACTCTGCTTTGTTAAATGGATTGTGTAAGAACCAATGTCTGGCTGAGGCAATGGCCTTGTTTCAAGACATGGAAGAAAGTGGACTACATCCTAATATTGTGGTTTACAGCATCCTCATGTATGTGCAAAGCTGGAAGCATTAAAGATGCAAGGGAACTCTTTTATAGTCTTCCTTCCAAAAGGTTGCAACCTAATGTTCGCACATATAGTTTTATGATAAGTGGACTTTGTAAGGAAGGGTTGTTAACTGAAACAAACATGCTACTCAAGAAAATGGACGAGTGTGGTTGCTCACCAGATGGTTGCGCTTACATCATAATTGTGCAGGGATTTCTTCGAAACAATGAGACGTTAAGGGCAATGCAACTTCTTCAAGAAATGGTTGAGAAAGGATTCTCTACCGATGCATGTACTATGACCCTTATTGAATTAATCAAATAATAGTGGAGATGCTCAATAAGTTTCTGTGTTTTGTATTGGGTTTTGTGATGTTAGGTGGAAGTTTAATATTTTCTTGGCATTGCAGTGTGCTGTATGTATGGCCTATTGATGCTTACATCAGTGTCTTCTTTATGTTTATTTTTTGGGTGAAATCCATGAGAAGTACGAAGGAGAGAATCTGAGTTGCAACCTATCTTAGTGTTAAACAACCTTTTTTTTTTTTTTTTTTGATAATACATCCAGGCTCTATGATTCGTTTATGGCAAGTCGATTTTGTAATTTTTGTATTTTTATTATTTTGCCGCAAAGATTTTGTAAAATAATAGCAGGTTTGAATACCTCAGTCTAAAAAATAAAAGAACTGGTACATGTGTAAATTCTCTATTTTGAAATTTGAAGATGGACTACTTTACTAGTGCCATCTTCTGAATGGAGAGGTTGGATTATAATAAAAAATGAAATTAGCAAAATTGTTATAAATTTTATTTAAAGCACTGAATTTTGGAGTTTTGGGAAAGAAGTGATACAAACTCTTGAGCCTGTGTTCTTCGTTTTGTTGTTGTGGTAATAACATATGGAGTCTCAACATTTTTGAATCCTGAGTATAAGTTTTTATGTTAGGAAATTTGATTCTTACAGGAGAAAAAAACATGTAATATTCTGTAATAAAACTTTATTAGAGAGATCCAACGTTAAATTGAGAGTGATGTTAGGGATTAATGTAGTTAGAGTTATTAAAGAAGAATATGAAAACATACAATTTAATTTACTTCATGATCTGGGATAAAACAGAATGAAAACATATGATTTATATAACAAATCCAAAATAATTTAAAAAAGGCTTGATTGTTATTGTAAGTTAAACTTTACACCATCAAAGCATCAACTTTGTTCATGCCTAAAACAATGACGATGTTGGATACATCTCATCCACTTAAGTTTTGTAATATTTTTTTTTTTTTTTTTTTTCACAACAGTCCCCCCATATTCAGAAAAGGAAAAACAATTAATCTACATATAAAAATTGTCTCTCTTATTTTTAATTTTTTTTACAGTTATTGGGTAGTTATCTATGCACATTGAAGACATACAATTATTTGTTGGTGGTGATAAATTTATCGTTATTAGTTAGTTTTCTTATGCATTGGCGCACAATTATATTAGTTGTAGAATTTGAAAACATAGTGTGGAAATTCAGCACTATTATAATTTTTTTGCATGTGTAAAACTTAAAGGGCCTCGCATTTGATAGTTTAACTAGGGCCTCTCAAAATTTTGAGAATCACAGGGTTGCCCTGCACCTTAGCTTCAATAACCTACAAAATGAAAGCTCATTCTCAGGTCGAAGAAATTGTCGATGAAGGGAAAGGCTTTGATTTGTGTATAAGTATATATAATTCAATCGAATCAGACATCCGATTAAGTGTTAATCGGATATGGATTCATCAAATGAAAATTCATCGAATTATCGGATCGGATCGAATCGTCTTATATGCTTATCGGATTCAGATCGGATCAACTGTGATTCGATCAGTATCCGATCTGTTGACAAGTCTACTAACATATGTGCGTACATACATAGATATCAACACAAAGCACAGTACACCCAAATAGAGAGAAGGGTTCATTTTGGCAATTTTTTTTATATTTATTTATTAGAAAACATGTCTTGTGAAGAAGATGAACAACGTATATATTTGTGTATATAGACAGAAGTGTA